GTGGTACACGACACGCACCTGCCGTGACGTGTACCTATCCTCGCTCTCTTCCATTCTGTTATCTGCTGCAGAGTGCAGACGTGTCTCTGTCAGCTCCGTCATTATTGTATTTGCAGTTATTATATAGTATATAGCGGGCACTAATAAATCGCGGATTATTTTATCATGGTATTTTCTCTGTTCCGCCATCCCTGTACTTAAGTAATAAGTAGTATAGCAGGGAAACGCTATACACATACACTGATAAACTGTAGGTTCGAGAAAGGTCTGCCAAATCATGAATTAATTAACCAATTGTTAGTTTTTATAATTACCCGGTACTTTTCATTAGCACCTTCAAAGTTGGGCTTCTTGCCGTGTCAATTATCTATCGGACCGACACAGCTCAGTCGGTAGAGCGCTCGCTCCGTGATCGGATGGTCATGTGTTCGAATCACGGTCGCGACTAAGTCGATAAAAAGAATTGATATCATCTCTTCCTTTGCCAAGCGCTCGGCACTTTTAAGTGAAAGTTGCAGTTCATTCGGATGAGATCTAAAAAAAAAACACGAGGCCCTGTGTCACATTAGGCGTTGGCACGATAAGGAGCCCTCACTGCCTAATGACCCTGAGTGCCAAGTAAAGGTCTAAATCTAAAGCTCTTCACTGGTATAAGGTGACTCTCTATATGAGTGAAAAATTCTCGATCGGGCATAAAAAAAAAACAGTCATCTATCGCTCCGAGGTGAACAATGCGCAGTGATCGACCTTGCAGACAATACCTGATTATGTTAACCAATTATCCAAGTAAATTTCCTTTGATACATACATGTTTTCATATCAATAAATGGGTGAACATCCCACAATCATTTATTGAAATACATCTACAAGTTATAAAAGTGTTTTGTGTTCATAAGAAATCAATCATTAAACTTTAAAATGAATGTCAAATAAAATCGTAATGAAAGGCACACGTTCGCAAAAAGTTTAAAATCGATATTGTGCCACGTCCATGTGCTTGCAACACCACAGGAAAGCCGACAAATATTACAAATACGATTAATAATTCCCAAGAAACGTTTTTTAAGAATTCGTCCTTTACTTTATATAACACAATGCGTCAATGATTAAAGTGAAAGTGGTGTTCCTTCGACATCGAATAGAAGCCAAATCCAGTAAACAGAGGGATTCTTTCTTAGTTAATATTGACGCTTTGGTTTGCTACAACAGCTGGTAAAGAAATAGGAGGAGTCCTATTTCGCTCATTTGTTTGTAATGTTGTGAGAGAGAGAGAGGTAGGAGAACATGTCTCTATAGTTTACTATTTATTGAGTGACCATCAGATTGAACATATTTCCATGCATATAATAATGATTGACAACAGATGATTCTAGGGAGAGGAACTTTACCGTGAGAACTGATAATATTAGAGAGCAGTGCTAGATTAAACATAAACATTCTGATGCTGGCTTGGTAATTGTTAATTATAGATTGAAAGATTTTAATTAGAATTATAAACTTTACATTCCTCCCAGTCTTTAATTAAAAGCATTTTCATTGAAGTAATTATCATTAACGCTTACACTTATCAAAGTTCATGTGGGTTTCAGTTTTTAATTGAGAATTGTCAATAATATTGGAAATGTCTGCTCAACGTTTGTGTCTCATTCCTCGAACTTTGTATGTTAACATTAACCGGTAGCTGCACAATTACTAACATTATGTAAAAATCACTTTTTGCTTATTTGTGCCCCCTCCCTTCTCCCAAAACTGAAACCGTTTCACATGGACAACACTTACTAAGAGGTCATAGATCGTAAATGTAGATATATATCTGTTGCACGGGGTACTTGTAAAAATGACTCTTCTTCTAAGATGCCCCCTTTTTTAAACGAATTCTCTTTTTTTAGGTCACCTGAGTCACTCAGGTGACCTATTGCTATCTCTTTTCGTCCGTCGTCGTGCGTCGTTCGTCGGTCGTAAACTTTTGAACATTTTCAGCTTCTTCTCTGGAACCAGCAAACCAATTTCAACCAATTTTGGCATATAGCATCTATGGGTGAAGGGGAACAAAAGTTGTGAAATTCGTGGCCCCTGCCCCCCTGGGGCCTGAGGGGTGGGGCCAAAACCATCAAAATTAATGCAATCTTTAAAAATCTTCTTCTTTACTCCTGGACATCAAGCAGTCAAACTGTTGGCATGATTGTAATAAGCATTGAGCCCTGTACCAAAATTGTGAAATTCATGGCCCCAGGGGCAGGGGTTCTGGTACTAGGGCGGGGCTATATAGATCATATAGTGAAAATGCATTATATCTTTGAAAATCTTCTTCTCTACTCCTGGGTGTTATTGAAACATTAATTAAATACATAGTTATGATAAGCAAGAGTGACTCTACCAAAATTGTGAAATTCATGACCCCAGGGTCAGGGGTTCTGGTGCTAGGGCGGGGCTATATTGATCATAAAGTGAAGTGCATTATTTCTTAAAAAATCTTCTTCTCTACTCCTGGGTATTATTTAAACAAATTAAATACATAGTTATGATAAGCAAGAGTGACTCTACCAAAATTGTGAAATTCATGGCCCCAGGGGCAGGGGTTCTGGTGCTAGGGCGGGGCTATATAGATCATATAGTGAAAGTGCATTATTTCTTAAAAAATCTTCTTCTCTACTCCTGGGTATTATTGAAACAAATTGAATACATAGTTATGATAAGCAAGAGTGACTCTACCAAAATTGTGAAATTCATGGCCCCAGGGTCAGGTGTTCTGGTGCTATGGCGGGGCTATATTGATCATATAATGAAAGTGCATTATTTCTTTGAAAATCGTCTTCTCTACTCCTGGGTATTATTTAAACAAATTAAATACATAGCTATGATAAGCAAGGGTGACTCTACCAAAATTGTTAAATTCATGGCCCCAGGGTCAGGTGTTCTGGTGGTAGGACTTGGCTATATAGATCATATAATGAAAGTGCATTATTTCTTTGAAAATCTTCTTCTTTTCTCCTGGGTATTATTTAAACAAATACATGGTTATGATAAGCAAGGATGCCTCTTCCAAAATTGTGAATTTCATGACCCCTGGATCAGAGGTTCTGATATTAGGGCGGGGCTCTATTTATTATATAGTGAAAATGCATTAATGCTTTAAAAATCTTCTCTGCACCTGGGCATATCAGAGGCAAAAAGAGTAAAAGTTTTAATAAGGAAGGGTATTTTTACCAGATTTTTGAACATCAGAACCATTTGATCAAGTGTTCTGGTCCAGGCCAGGGCTCTATTAATTTGTATTCTACTGAGAGGAGTTATTTCCCTTTTCCATTTACTTGTGATAATTAATCACTGTAAATAATGTACTTGAAAGGTTAATAGAGTAAGAGAATTATGCAAGAATTTTTATTGTATAATACAAAAAGTACTTTCATGGTTTTAATGATCAGGTAGACTTGTAAGTAACAGATAAATAAAAATGAGACAAAAATAACTTGTCTTATTAAATGTTCATCAAAGACCAAGAGAGGCCAATGTAAGAGATTTCAACAAGGAATTAAAAGAGTACAGAAGCACTGATTATAAGTTTGTTTATGTCCTGTCTGGTGAGAGTGATAAATGGGGAACAGATTAGAACCTAATTTATGTACTGTTAATGAACACTAGACTAATTATTTTGTTGATCCTGATCACCCTATTTTTCTTGCTTTTGGGCAACAAAGCTTCACCTTTCAGTTCATTTTATACTCTGTGGATCCTCTAAATTGTATTATACTCAGGTGACCGTTAAGGCCCTTGGGCCTCTTGTTTAATTCACTATTCTTTTCTATCTACCGTTCACGGTAGCTCAGTCGGTAGAGCGCTCGCTCCGTGATCGGGAGGTCGTGAGTTCGAAGCTTGGCCGCGACCGACATAAGTCGGTAAAAAATGGGTAGCAACTGTTCCATCGACATGCGTTCGGCACTTTGAAGTGAAAGTTGCGGGTCCTTCGGATGAGACCTTAAAAACCGAGGCCCCGTGTCACGGCAGGTATTGGCACGATAAAGATCCCTCATTGCTCAATGGCCCTGAGTGCCGAATAAAAGTCAAAATTTGAAGCCTTTCACTGGTATATGGTGACGTCTCTATATGAGTGAAAAATTCTCGAATGGAACGTTAAACAACATACAATCAATCAATCTTTTCTATCTCTTACTCCTTATTCTACATTTTCATTTAAAAATATATATATATAATTAGAGATAGAATGGGAATTACGAATGTTATAAGAGTCCAATCTCTCTTGTAATTTTAATGTGTTTTTATCTAGAACATTCGGATTTACATAGTGGTAAAAAAAAATATTAATGAAAATTTTTATAGAGAAAAAATATATGTAAAAAAAAAAATCATTAAATGAGACACTGCAGATGCAGTGTAGAAGCAGGACTCTGTCCTCAAGTACCCGTAATCCGTATAGATCTGCGAGTTACGCGTTAAGATTAAATAAAAGACTGTTTAAAAGATTATCTATTTAGAACTCGAACTTAAACGGTAGTAGAAGCAACCGATTTCTGACTTTTACTGGGGTGTCTTTTCTATCGCTTCTTTTTCTTGTTTCATTTGCAGAAGAGGCGACCCTCTTCCCTCTAGTATACAAAGCCTCATAGTTTTTCTGACACAAATCAAAGAACTCTCGACATGTTTTTTCCAAGTTAATTAATGTTTGAAAACAATTTCTTCAAAGTATTCGACTTCCAACACTTATACCGCCATACTTCTAAACCAATATCTGTAATTGCTTTTGAATCAAATAATCTAACACGGTCACTATTATTTTCACTTACAATTATTCCCTTTTTGTAAGATTTTTGTTTCACAGGAGTGTTTAACATTTCATATTACGCACGAGACATTTTACTTCGCTGAAATTATTCTAAATATTCAGGCGTAATGCTGTTTATAAAATTTTGACATTAACATATCAGCAAGCTTCTATCACATTACATGACCTAATATTGGATAAAATAGAACTGCAACAACTCTGCAAACTAGTTTTGTTCATTGAAATTGACATATTTAATTAACGCAGAAAACATAAATCGGATTAAAGCTTAGTCAACAGATCGCCTTATTGTGTAAACATTTCCCACGCTGTATCGTATAGTAGCGGCGATAGATGTGCATCAAACAAGCCAGGAAGAACATGCTAACTGTCGATTCCCGCCTACATTTTACACCAATTTAATTCAATACTAATGGCAATTTGGCCGTAAAATCTTTGTTGAATGCAAAGACCAGTTCAATGGTTATGACTGATAATTTTAATACCAGTGTTAAATAGTTAATGACCCCTAATTCCAGCTCATTAAATAAGGAGGGTAGACGATATATATTTTCCATTGAAACCGGGCTTTAAAGCATCACCACATTTTAAAATATTCTTGGATGTGAATAAATATTCCTGCTTCTGTCTTAAAGTTTAACTGATTTTGCAATATGTCCTTTAATATGCATTCTTAGCGTATTTTAGAACTACATGTGTACATGTTGTCATATTGTGATCACAGACCTCCTAAAATACAAAGAAACAAGATCTTTATTTAGATTAAAGAAAATTCATACGGTAGAAAAGTGACAGGAACTGCTTTCCAACCTATCGAAAGATCGTATAATTTAGCACAAAGGCACCTAATATGCTGTTGTCCTATTATTGGTAGAAAATTAAAAATATGAGCAAGTGTCTTATCACCGCAACTCTCTAACTCGCATATTGTAGTCTCTAATAAGGTCATTAAACTTGCACTTATTGTTACATTTTTACAGTTATTGCTTTCTTATTTCGAATCAGCTAAAACTGGTCACTTGGAGCTCCTTCTGTTGCTCGGACCCCTCACACCTATCCCGGATGTGAACGATGTTCAACCGTTTTGCTTCTACAATCATTTGATCAAATCCGAAATATCTCTAAGTATTATTCCTTTGAATTCCGATTTACTTTGTGACATTCTGCTTTCAATTACTCCTAAAAGGAGGTAGTCATCAAGACAAATATACATTAACAAGAGAGTTTTTTGGGTGGAATTATTCAATGCGAAAAGCAAAACAATTTAAAGGTACTTCGGGCGGAGAAATTCATCGATCTGATGCACATTCCTCCACCAATCACATCCGAGGTTTGTGTGGAGCGTAGCAGAGTCAGCTGAGGATTACCGATTGAAAAACTGACCTCTCATTCTCAGTGGCTTAAACTTTAAAATTCTGTCATACCATCGCCTCCAAGATGCAACTGAAAAAAACGAATATCTCTAGAGCACAGTAACTCCAGGATGACGAAAGTTTGAGTTTTTCCCCATTATCTGGTTGTTATGCTAGGGATAATCAATTCACTTTTGACAGACGATGAGTTCTAGACACGGATATCACGAGGGATATATGAAACTCCTTGGTTTTTCCACTTTTCAAATCAAAATGTCTCTAGGGATGAAGTAGAAGATACACAAACTACAGACCAAAATCGCTGAGCAGGTCGCCATTGTTTGTCCATTATCTTCGCTTTTTAATGACATGGAAGCCGCTGAAAAAGAGAAAATGAAAATTACCTTTATAAATGAAATCCATTTTGCCTAATGGAAAAGCGATATTGATTTCACTAAACAAACATAATGCCAGGTTACACAATGACATTTCATGTTTTTCTTTTAACAATGGTAAAGATTCAATATATTCTTCATCACATATTTATGGACATTGTTGTTATGGAAATAGTTGTCGTACATTGTTTTTTGGTGGTCCTAGTTGTCATTTGTGTTGTTTTAGTTGTTGTTTGTTGTTTGGGAGTAATCTCTATTGACTGCTCGTCGAATTTACATGTGATGTTCATTCCCTGTGTATATGGTGTAGTATACTTTGCCCCATTGGCAAGAGCTAAAAGAGTAAAATATTTAACTTGTAAAATAAGCATAAAAAATTGGACTTTTGGTTATGCGATGATGTCGTTCTTATTAAATTGACATCACCTTGTTAACACACGAAACATTCTGTAAACTGCACTTACAAATCGTCGATCATAATGTTCTTTTAGAATACAATTACATGTATTACCATATCCGATAAGTAATCGTGATCTACTCCAAACCTGTCATTAACTTTCATTTTGAAATTATTTTCAAAATTGATATATATGATGTATAGTGTAGGGTAAAAGAACTTAACAGGTTGCGTTCATTATGGAATATCCATGTCAGCCGATAATATTAAAATTGGTCTTCTGCTTAATAATTTATGATAATCTCAGCTTTAATGATTATATATCCATATTTCTGCTATGAATTGAACTATATTCTGCCTCATGTAGATATTTGATATTTCCATAATTTTAAAAGGTTGCAAAGCAGATGAGATGAAAATTTCACAAAATTAAGTGATTCAATTAGTCCTTTAACTAAAATCTATAAGAGTGTACCATCCGTGTTCTTAGTTGCTTTAATGTTGGTCGTTGGGGACTCGCTTGAAATGCGGAAGCCCTGTAAGAATCACATTGTCCGTCCATCTGTCTTTCGAGAAATTTTTCGGCACAGTAATTGAAACAAGGACAATGTTAAGCGGAGCATCCCCTCGCAAAAGAGCACATCGCACCCGGTATTACTTATCAGTTTTACTTAAACTATACACCCCCCATAACGTTGCGAGAGGATAAGACCCTTGAAATAAAGCTAGAGCGCACTCGCACTGCGGCAAGCTGGCGACCAAATTGGTATAATTGTTTACCTTCAGCATCATCATAACAATGGTTCGTTTGATTTTCTTTGTGCCATCTGCAGTGTGCCAAATCTTCTTTGCTCACAATGCGTATACCTTTATGGGAGAATCTGAAGGACGCATGCTCACATAAAATAGTAACGTGCGTGTTGTTATGGTACGCCATTGTTCGAAACTCAGAAACTAGAAGTAGAAAATTTATACTTTTCATTAATAATTTAGTAATTAGGGTATTTAAATTTGAAATGTTGAAAGTTAGTATCAGCTTATAAATATATCAATTTAGGCCATTTCATGAAAATAACTACAATTTTAGAGGATAAGTTGTTCCACTTAATGAACAACCATTTTCTAAAAAACAAATCAATGATGAAATGTTTAGACCTCTGTTGTCTTTTTCGGGGTTACATTTTCCGCGGTTTCCTATGAAAGAAATACGTTTGACGGTAACAGAGTTTCACGCATGATTAAATTAGCACTGGTTGCAAAACTTATTATTCAAATAAATTTTACATGGTGTAAAAATATCAGAATGAACTGTAAGAAGAAAAGTGTTTATAGGAATGTTTAAAAATTTTCACTTCAGACACTTTGACAATTAACACAGACAACGTCATCACAATCCTGACGAGATAGAAGCTATGCATTGCTGTAATACAAAAACAAGTTGCAAAGTAATTAAAAACATTTTGTTTAATTAAGTTTGTTTCTAAATATTTTTATTCATAAAAACACAATAAGCACCGAGTTTATCCTTGTGACCTCTTGTGTACCAAGTTCTAAAGGATGTAAGAGGAAGATTGTTTTCGCAGATTGACGGAACTTTCGCCATTACAACTTTTGTAGTCTTTTACCAGGAGAGCTATATATATGTATTATTTTATACACGCGCTGTTTATTTATCACCTTTCACCGAAATCGGAAGAACTTCACTAAAATGCATTTAAATCTGTGTCCATGACAACACTTTTTATTGGGCAGAAAAATTTGTCAAAGGAATTAAGAATCTTGGCGTAATCTACTTCTTCCATCCAAAGCAGACCCAAAACTATATGAGAAGTGGATTTTAAATCAAAGAAGAAAGAAAATAATAATTATGTAGACTTACGACAAGGCCTTAGAAGAATCTTTTCATGTACACTAATATTATGACAGGTCGTGTTCACCCACAGCGGATAACCAGCATGAATTGAGTGGTTAAATGGTGTCGTAAAGGTCAAAATTCCTCTGTTATTGTCGTGGTAATACTGCACAGAATCCGCTGTATGGCATAATAATCTGCCATTACCGATAAATATGCAGTCAGCTAGAACATCTGAAACTATGTTAATTTTGAGGTTCTTAATGTTACACATCATTGAAATCTCAATTTCCAGTTTCTCCGAGTGACATGTCCCGTCGGATAATGCATCGGAATTGATGATAGTTCCAAAAATTCCTTGATCGGAGAGAAAAGAATATTGAATAGCATTAAACATAATTTTGAATTACCCCCGGTAAGTGCTAAAAGTAAACTATATTACGCGTTCACGGTTCTTATCAGAACATATATTGGATCAAACAAATAAATTTGAAAGCATCAATAATAAGAAAATATTGATTCTATCATTTTATCATAAATATAATGTATTCCTAATGAGCCTTTAACGATTATTTTACAAACAGATCTCACTGAATTATTTTAGTCAACACGAAGAAAGGGACACTGCTTTCTTCAGCATTTACTTGGTGTAATATCTATGTACAACTATTGTTGTTTCCAAATTTTGTCGACAACAACAACAAACGATAAACTCACCTTTTTGAATTAAAAAGGCTCCTCCAAAAAATACGCCTACAATAATTTTATTCGGCACCATGTGTACGGCTTTTCTGTAAGTAATATTTATATCATTAGGTGGTTTGTTTATGCATAGCCAGTGACGTATTGCAGTATTCTGTGCAATGTATGCTACATCTGTGTCAACGTCTGCATCAGCTCTATAGCTGTCATGTATTGATTCGTTTTTATGCTATCGAATTTTTTCCTGACTGCAGCGCAGTGTTATTAAATGATTATTCAGTTAACATTTTATCTTTGGGTTATATCGTAAACATTAAAATGTAAACAGATACGTCATAACGTACTTCTGTTTATTACTTTATAATCAGATTTCCGGTTCACTTTTTTTTAAATATAAACCATTTGTTATGTATTGAGATCGATTAAACATGATACATGCCTGGTTAAGTGTGGATTTTCAAAAATAGAAATAATTTTTTTTTTACCTATCCCAAGTGTGAAAGGTGCAACGTTCGTTTTCTTTTAAAAAGCTAAATATAGAATTGCTTATATGCTTAGGAATTTATCTGCCATCTACGTTAAGGGAGGGTAGCCTTAAATATTAACAGAAACAGTATCAAGGATTTTACTCTCATAAATCAAAGTATTATTTTACTATGGATTTTAAATTGTTATATTTCATCTTTACTAATCTTACATGTATTTTTTTTTTATATAAAAAAGGAGTTATAACTTGTATATTCAAATATTAAAATTTACATCATTCGTTATTAAGGCCCTAAATCTTAACAAGTAATAGCTTTTCAAAAAGCTTGCCTGACTAAATCAATCAATATCTATGCAACGTATAAGCAAGAGAAGTGCTAAACGTTTCCGTCATCAAGGAGCGACATAGTTGCGATACTTCATTAGGCCTACAGAAGATGTACAATTGACTTTCTCAAATGTCATAATCAAATACATGTATTACAGATCAACGAATATCTAAGACATGCCACTGTTTGATCAATATTACACTGGCTGGCTTTCTAAACTTTTTTAAAAGCTAATCTTGTAACATAATTTGAAAGAGAAAAAGGGGGGCAGACTGAAAGAAGTAAATACATCATCATTTTGCTTCAGTACATGTAATATAATTCTTTCCTCTGCAAACTGAATTTGTTATAATGCAGGTGGTAAATTCCGATGAAAATCAGCTTGCACAAAATCTGGCTCACTATGTATGAACGCTTAGTTTTAGACCATAGAAAAATTTATCCACTTATACTGCCTGATGCACGTGGCGTCAGACAAAAAAAGTTCTAAAGTTTTATAGTAAACAAAAGAATTTACTTAAATAAACTTTAGTAAATTTTTGTAAGGAAATGTGCACAAATCAAAACTTCTTCGATTTTTTTTTTTTTTTTTTTTTTTTTTTTTTTTGAAATGAGTATTTTCTCTGGGAACAATTCGATAAAGATTCAAAATATGACCAAACAGTTGAAAGGGAATCGTGTCAATTACAACTTGGCAATGGAAAAAAATTGAAAGAGCGGAAAATGTATTACAGAGACACTTGGGAAGTACTCAAATACATCTGTATACGGCTGATTTAATCGTGTTTCCTAAAGAATGTGTTCTGCCACTTACTGATCCTCATATTTCTTATTTATTATACGTTAATTGCCTTCAAATGTAACATTCAAGGGTTTTTACCGGTTAAGGAATAACTAGGCATGCTAAGTACACCAGTTCTCATAATGTCAGATATATACATAATATCAGTTTTCCATTTTTTTTTCTTTTTTTTTTTTTTTTTTTTTTTTTTGCTTCATTAGTTCCAAAAAAAATATTGAAACTTTCATTATTCAGATTTTTTAAAGGCAGACCTCTTATGACGGTACATATTGTCGTTTCGTACATATTGTCGTCGGCGACAATATGTACATACCCTCACGGCACACATTGTCGTCCATCGGTACATATTGTCGCCGGCTGAAAAGTAACACATGTACATATTGTCGCTGGCGACATTATGTGCCTCACCCTCACTGTACATATTGTCGCCCCACAGATATTGTTGTTTAAAGATTTCTTTTGTTGTTTTTTTGTGATAGATTTGTGAATGTAATTGGTGTGTGAATCACACTGACGTGTCGGTATGTTATTTCATGCAGCGTGGTGTGACGGTACATTTTGTCGTCCTGCTCATATCGTCGTCGTCGACAATGTGTACCTACCCTCACATCGCATATTGTCGTCCATCAGAACATGTCGCAATGTAAAACTTTCATCACCCATTGTGGCCCCGCCCTACCCCTGGAGTCATGATTTGAAAAAAAAAAGAAGTGGTTTTGTTTTTATTTGTCGTTATAATGTCCATCTCGAGAATTTTTCATTCGTATCTAGACGTCATTACTTACCTCAAAATTGAATGTAAGCTATGTAACGAAGTTTTCACTTAAGTATCATCTCTTCTGACCCGGTACTTGAAAAAAAAATTGAAAGATTTTTTTTCTAAATATTCTATGAAAATTCTGATCACTATTGTAGCCACACCCTCCCCCTAAGGACGTGATCTGAATAAAGCTGAATCTTCACTTCATAATGAAGCTTTCACGTAAGTTTAAGTTTTCTGACACAGTGGTTCTTCTCAAAGTATATATTACAAGAAAAAAGAATAGGTTGATTTATCAGATATCTAAAAAAAATTACGGTATCTTGACATTTAACAGTGATGTACATTAATCCTGGACGCAATTTTCTGACCAAAAGGTTTTCTCCCTAAAGCATTGCAGGTAATGCCGTCTGTCTCTCTCCGTGCGTGTGTGTGTGTTTGACAATATCTCTTTCTTTTCTCAATTAAATATTCGTCAAAACAATATATCGACGACAATATATGCCGACCTTGACTGTACATATTGTCGCCGACGACAATGTGTGCTGGTGCTTGACTGTACATTTTGTCGTCCATTATGCAGGAGAAAAATAAGGCTCGTCTCGGTACATATTGTCACCGGCGACAATATGTACCGATGGACGACAATATGTGCAGTGAGGGTAGGTACATATTGTCGCCGACGACAATATGTACAAACCGACAATATGTACCGTCAGACCTCTCCTGATACACGAATAACAGACTGAGAGTTATTTATAATCTTGTTTGTAATTGAACGCACTGAACCGAAAACACAGGTAAAAAAAAACAAATACACACTTGTGACAGTTACAAATCGATTTTAACTCGATTTTCAAGCAAACAACAAAATCTTTAACGATCATTGTATACGTTATGGAATTGCAGGGAAGCTAAAAAAAACAAACAAAAAAGATATAAGTGAAAGTCCTTACCTATCCCCTGTCATGAATGAAATATGGACGTTCATTTGTGCAGTTGGATAACATGAATTAAATACCTTACCTCCAGGTTGTTATTTAAACATCCTCAATGTCACAACAGTGTTCTTTACGGTTTCATAAAAATATGTTTAGTACATGTAGTTTGATGCATTAAATAAAAAGTGGTTTAAAATTATAGACTGGTTTACTTCTCATAGACAAGCATCGCTTAATAGAAGCTCTAATGACCAATTATTGAAATTCAACATAAGATCAATGTAAATATAGACATTAAAACATTAAATAAATAGGAAGTGACATGCAAATGTTTGCTCTCTAAGGTTCATAAACCCTATGCTCACTCATATACAATTTTGCTTAAACTCTCTGATTTCCAGCAGAAAAAATTAAGTAAAATACAAACACTTATATCATAGCTTGTTGCTAAATTAAACATACAAGACAATTCAACTTGACAAATTTATATAGAAATAATAGACATGCATGTCGGTTATCTTTCATATAAGAGTATCAATGAACATTATGAGATGATTTAATTCAATAACAAAATGCAAGGAATTTCAAAAAAAAAAAAAAATATTAACTTGAAAAAAAAGGTAATGAACTGTTTACAGTGTTTGAAGTAGCCGTCCGCCCGAGACGCATAACTTTTGTTTATACGAGCGCCCGACCGGACGTGCAAATTTTTGGGATCGAAGTGTATATAATATCGGAATCGGAGTTTTCAGTGACTAAATCCCAGTCACATTATCGCTTTTAAGTAGGGTCATTAAACAAAAGTCAAGTCAAGCGTCTCGTTCATGTTGAATATTATTTGAAATGACATATTACGAAATTATTTAGGGCTACCAGCCCTAAAAGGAAAGGTGGACGATAACAAAACAACATTAGAATAAAACAAAGTCTATGATGAAACGAAACGAAAACGAAAAATCGCCCCATTCTGGAAGCAGGAATTCGACTGGATTGTATGTGATGATACTAGAAACATTGTTTATTGTAAGGTTTGTCTTTCTACATATGGACATCTTAGCAATAAAAAAGTAAGTGAACGATTAAAAAAGTACTCGAATAGTCCCTTTGTTCGTCAAACTTGCGTCATGATGGTCTAGTTAATCACGAGCAGTCAGAGGGTCATAAATATTCCTGCGAGATATACAAAAATAAGAGTGCATCTACAAGTACAGCTGAAAAAAACACTGCAGTCCCTAAACAAAAGCGTGTTCGATAAACTTGAAAAATTATTCAGAAACAGTCATGCAATAGCAAAAGCATGCAGACCTATGTCAGATTTTACATGGATGGCGAGTCTTGATGAGAAAAAAGGCATTAATGTCGGTCAGACATTCAGAAATGTTAATAGTTGCAAAGAGTTTCTTGAATCTATATAGCTGCTGTTCAACGTAAGAAAATAGAACAAAAACTGAAAGATGCAAAATTTTGCACAATTATGTCGGGGATCCACAGATGTGTCAGTGACTGAAAATGAAATTGTATATATCCACTTTGCATTTAAGGGTGAAATTCACTGCTATTTTCTTGGGCTAACTGAGTGTGAGCATGTTAATGCTGAACGCAGTACAGTTAAGGCAACATTTTCTATAAAAAGGCACCAAAAACGAGACACTTAAAGTTCAACCGTCTTATTTTTTAGCATGAAACTCTATCTGAAATATCTTAATGGCTTTATGAAGAGTTTGTCCATCGCTTTTAACGTCGGTATTTTTTGTCATCATGTGACCCTCTACAGTCACGTGAGCTCCGATTTTAGGTCAAAATATGAAATGTCAAATTTAACCAAAAAGTGCAAGGGCAAGGCAAA